AATAGATGACTTGGACAGGGACAGACAGTTGCTGTGTGCATAGTGTAAGGAATGCTGATTTTTTTTTTTTTTTGAAACCTTCATTCTGACTTAGGCGTAGTCTAAGTCGGGGTGTCAACTTCGCTGCAATCGGGTTTCCCCATACTTGCTCCGTTCCTGTGCCAGCGAAAATCAAATGAAATGTCCCTCACTGTCCCATTTGAAAACCTGGTGAACAAACATTTAGTCCCAGCACAAACCAGAAATATGCGCACGCAGTAAATGCATATGGCAGTTGCCAAAGCCAACAGTCGCCACCAGAAATGCAGTCTGTCGTTGATAAAAGAAGTCGGGCACGATAAGCTGGCTACACACATGTAGAATTATTACATTAGGTATTTCACCAGCTCACACGTAAACCGGCGACCTGCCATATTGAATACCATAACACAGTCACTGCACAAATGAAAGGTATTCCACGTAAAATACACAGCTCACAGTGCTGCACAAAGCACTAAACACCTTAGCTCAGGCAGCACACCATATGTTGACTGTACAGATGAATGAACAAACAAACAAGGACACCAACACATAAAGTAGCCAGGATATAGCATGCTTATTCAATGATGAGCTTAATTGTTTTATCATCATCATCGTCATCTTTATTCCACCAAGAAAACTACAGAAATTAAATGAAGTGATTTGACAAAAAAATAATCCAGGTGATGAAAAACAACAAATATAACCGCTGGGTTATTATAGTTGTTAGTCGAAGTTCCCATTTCACAGCAAAAGGGTTAACCCTTGAGACAATGGAAATCACACAAAATGTCCTTTACTGACACATATGAAATCTTGTAAAAAAAATTGATCAGTCCCATCAACAAGTTGAAACTCGCAAAACTAAATACAAAAGGCAGCCACCATAAATGTTACTACTAACGATCCTTTCCCAGAGTTCACTGAAGACGAAAGCAAACACCTTTTTTTTTAAAAGTAATGAAGAGCTAGAATCTGATCACATTGACAGATGCTTTTTAAGCATAAGATAACACTGACAATAGAATGTTTGGTCTTAAAGGAAATTATAACGTTTAGTTTACAGCTGGAAGCATCCCATTTCTCACTTAACATGCAGTTATTCGCTTGGCTATTTGGAACATTCAGTTATTTAATTGAATATCTGGAACTAACATGTAAATAAAGAATAAGAATATGTTTACATTTTTGTGATTTATTCTCTTTCTCTCTCTCTCTCTCTCTCTCTCTCTCTCTCTCTCTCTCTCTCTCTCTCTCTCTCTCTCTATCTATCTCTATCTCTCTCTCTCTCTCTCTCTCTCTCTCTCTCTCTCTTTATCTCTCTCTCTCTCTCTCTCTCTCTCTCTCTCTCTCTGACATGTCATAATCTGCAAGCGAAATGAGTTCTGGTGCTTTCGAGTCGATTGTTAGTGTACGTCGTGTGTATATTTGTGTAGGTGAGTGGGGCAGGGTTGTGGGCGTGAATGATGTGTGTGCTTGCTTATTCTGCGTGAAACATTTTTGCAAGCAATGTAAAAAAAAAAACTGCAATCAGACAAGAAGGTAACCGCTTAGATTTAACAGTATTTTCCAACGGAATACTGTCCATCCCTTCATTAATGCACGAACAAACATTCAGCAAACACTGTCCCTATGTGTGCCACTGCTCAGTTCAACAGGCTGGTAACACTACTAAAACAAGCTGTTATCATTTCGTTCGGGCGCTAATATTCTATTCCACACAACGAAACAATCCCGCATAGTTGGCTTAAGTTATACATAACAAGATTCATTGTGAAAGTTGCATTGCCCCCAACCCCCCCCCCCCCCCTTTTTCCGGAATATATCGATTTGTCCTTCATATGGGCCTGGACAAACAAGATGTCTCAGACTTGCTGTGTACATACGCGTCTGTATCATCTTTCATTTGTCATGATAGCAGATATTTGTCCTGTGTGTTTTTTCCTATTGCTTATCTTGTGTGTGTGTGTGTGTGTGTGTGTGTGTGTGTGTGTGTGTGTGTGTGTGTGTGTGAGTGAGTGAGTGTATGTGTGTATGTGCTAGCGTATTTTGTTAGAGCTGTGCTTATTTCGGACTTCACAATAGTTATTTTATTATATGTAATGTCGCCGAAATATTTCACTCGTCTGTAGTTTGTTTCTTTTAGAAACTTGTTTCGTTCTCAGCCTCTCCACAGTCTCTATATTTGATTATGCTCCCCCGCCCCCACTCCCCACCCCCTCCAGTTAAATACTAGAAATGCATCTGTGTATTTACATCACTAGAGACCCAGCTCGTCCTTCTGATCGATTACTTTAAGAAGTCATCTTCTTGTTTTTCTCTTACGTTTTTTTCCCCTAGTTAGTAGTATAACAAACACCTTTATAACTACTCAGGATGTACTCTGTTTATGGCCCGCCATCTTTACTCTCTAGAAAATTTTTTAGTTAACATGTTGTCTTAAAGACATTTTCTGAATACATTGTTTTATACGTTAGCACGCTAGCTACTACACTTCTGTGGCACCTACCCTTAACCACAACTCTACCCCTATTAGATTTACTGCTTTCTTTACACTTAAGTCGATGTACTTGTGCTAGTTTATACAAGATATGATCGCAGAAACTCAACCTTGATTACTTACTTCGTTACAAACGAATGTAAAGTCTACTAGCAAGTATAAAGTCAAGGACCTTTTTCTAAATCTTCAGGTTTATTTGAGCATTGAGGGATAGGCCTGTATTTGATAGAACAATCTGCATGTGGTTGGTGACGTGGTCAGCATCCAGCCACCGGATCTACTTCCCTGGAATGTGTCTGGTGCCCAGTCAAGCCTGGGTGACCTGGGAGCCAAAGACATTTCTGAAAAATGTCAGGACTCAAACCCACGTCATTACGATCCTCAGGCGAGCGTCTAGCCGCTACACCACAGCGACTCCCCACTAGCAAGTATGGCGGGATTAAATGGAGAAGCTTTTAGAAGGCAGTCGTGGCTGTCAGGAGAGATCGCTGTGTGTATTCAGAACCGCAGCCCACTGCTTCAACGAAATGTCAAATACCGTCAGTTATGAAGGACTTTGATGATTATTGAACTATTTGATCACAGCTTTCTTGATCTAATAAAGAAGTGATAGGGTTGAGTTTCAACAACTTTTTTGCTTTACACATCGGAGAATGGTGCATTTCTGTTGTTAATATTGACCGAAGATGAATCATGGTTTCACCACTTTGATTCATGCAGCAAATCGGCTCGCTCGCAATGGAAACATCACAGTGTATCAGACATCTTTCCGCTAGGCCTGTGCCTGAATACCTATGACCCGCTGTCCAGACAAGCCTAGGTGTGTACTTGCCTCATAACAGTAAATCAGCCTATTACGGTAATATTCCTTTCACATAATTTTTTTTTAAATGGTTTTCAGTTGGTTGGAACAGGCTTCATTTGATCACTTGTCGTAGTTCCTCGGATCTGATATTCGTTGCTGTTGATTTCACGACCACATCGACATTTCATTTACATATAAATTGACAAATTTTCACACCTTGGACGACAACTTGTTTATGCAACACTGCTGGTATAACCGATGGATTATTTTCATATCCATGATCAAATTATAATAGGAAAATTGTTGACCATGTCTGGACTTTCTCAACTGTACTGAATTGTCACATGACAAATGTGATCAACGGTGTCCTAGCTTGTTAGAGTACATGGACCAGGAATTAGGAACATTCTTAAACCGACTCTGTTGTTGGATAACTGGTTTCCTCACATGTTATAATTTTTTTTATGTATTTTTTTTTTTTTTTGCTGAAGAGAAAATACTTTATTTTACATTTTAATATCACATCTGTTTTAATTCACTTCTTGGTGTTAAAATGTATTTTAGTGTATTACAAAAATTTGGTCTTTTAGCTTCGTACAAACAAATATTTTAGTTAACAGCCTGACCTGAACAAATATTTTATGCCACTCAATATTAAAAAATCTTTAGGTTTTGTTAGCTCAAAATACAAACAGTATGTTATTTTACAGTTGAAAATATTTAAACACATTTATTTACAGCTGAGTTAATTTTAATTTATAGTTCTGCTTTCATATTTTAATTGACAGCTCAGTACTAAATACGTTCTTGGTATAAAGCCTAATGTGAAAACAGGTATCACTCATCTAGTGCCAGCTTCTAATCTACAGTAACAGCTCACCGGAACGTCGAGAAACTCAAGCTTCAGATCGTTCATGTCAGCTTATTGACGATAATGAGATGGCTGAATGTTAGTTACAATGTATTAAATCGAATGTTTTATTCAAGAATCATGTTTTAATAATATCTAACATCTTACCGTTGACTTGCTTTCAGGTGGATCGGATGTCAAAAACGAGGAAATTTCTTGTGTCATAACAAGGTAAAACTTGGAGACTTTCAATTCACAAAACTCATCGATCACAGATTAGCTTCAAGGCGTCGCACATTGAATTGTATCTCATCGACAGTTTTGGAGATAGCTGTCTGTCCTCTCCTGGTCTACAACAGTATACATAAGCTACACAACTGGTGCAGTCACTCTCCTTGGCAGTAATTCAAATCTGAAGTAGCGACTTCATCTAGTTAGCTACCTATGAACCTGCCTTGTGGTTAATCAAGCCAAGCTCTTCTGTCCATTGTCCTGGCTGCTATTGTCTCGAGATTTCAGCTAATACTGCACATAACAGACATATCTGAAACCGTGCAGTAACTGTGAAGACAGGGTGATCATAAGTATTACGTTTTCGTGCCAGTGTACACATTGCTGACCATCAGTACCCCAGAAAATCACTTTCACCTGTAGGTACCAGTGTGCATACGAGTGTACATATGAGAGTATGTACGAGTATACATACAAGTGTATGTACGAGTGTACACGTTGCTAACTGTGCTCTCGTTTGTCCCTTTCACTTACAGATAGGAGTGGTAGATGTGCTGTTTGACGGATTAATTGTTCATACACATAACATCGCTACAATGCACGTGGAAATCTCTGTTGCGATGAACTTTTTCATATCCTATCTTTACAACAAATTGCCTCGGCGACGTGTAGATCTGTTTTGCGAGGAGCTGGAATCAGGACTCAAAGACAAGTTTCGAGGCCACTGGTATCCGGAAGCACCCTCAAAGGGCTCCGGTTATCGGTGTATAAAGGGAAATGGCGAGGAGATTGACCCTGTCATCGTTGCCGCAGCCGTCAAGGCTGGCCTTGATATCGTGGAAATTAAGAGTTACCTACCAGAAGATCTCACTTTGTGGATTGACCCCTGCGAAGTTAGTTACAAAATTGGCGAGAAGGGACAAGTAAAGTTGCTCTATTCTGACAGAAATAATGAAGATGGGTGTGACAACATGGACCGAGAGGTACAGGCGGCTAATCGAACCTTTAATCCTGAAGCACAAACGTTCACGCCGGAGTTGCCCACCGTCACTCCCGAGTTGCATACCTTCACTCCCGACATCCTGGCCTTCACACCTGACGTCATGGCGTTTTGCGCTGATTCTTCTCAATCCTTTCAGCCTATCGACTCCCTCTCTTCCTCTCTATCAAACCTTAGCCTTTCCCCCTCATCCCCAGTTCCTCCAAGTGCATGGAGCACAGCCACATCACCTTCCTCCAACCTGTTCAGTTCAGCTGCACCAGCTGCAGGAGTATCAAGCCCTTCCTCCTATCTAACGCCTCGAGCCAATGGTAGCGGTCGTCCACAGTTCACAGCAGCTATGTTTGCCCAGACCAAATTCGGCTCCACAAAACTGAAGACCCACGTCAAACGTCCCAATCGACTCTCTCCAACAGAATTCAGCAACTATTTCCGACAACAACAGAAAGGCTACTCTGGGGCACAGAGACCTCGATCGCTTTCTCCCCGTGACCCAAGGGTCGAATTTCTGATTGACAAACAGCAAAGAATGATGTTTCAACAACAGGTGTCCCCATTAACATCTTATGGGCCCAAGCTCCAACAACATTTTCTTCAGCACCAACATCATCGACAGCAGCTGTCACCCACGAGCATGTATCCTGATTTTATTCCTCACCATTCGTCGGGTGTATCCTCTTGTACATCATCCCCCCATTTATCTCCTCATCTTTCTCCTCGCATGTCTCCACAGTGCAGTGGTTCAACATTCCAGGAGCTGATTCATTCCACCCCAAACCTTAATAATCTCTCTTTCCCCTCGTCTGACTGCATCAACCGATCCAGCTCCTTGTCTCATCTTGGTCGCTCACTCGGCTTCCCCAGTCTGAAAGCTTCGTCCGTCAGGGAGAACTCATCCTCGTTCCCGGACCGGCTAGCACAAGCCAATTCGCTCTCGCCAGATGGACGCACAACCTTCGTGGACAGTCTCACAGCCACTCCGGTCCACTACGCCAACAGCCTCCAGCACCTTCTCGTGGCCAATTAATGTTTATTTTTTAAATGATTATTTGAAGTTTAGACATAAAAAAAGCAAAATGAAGACTCTGTCAAGCTTACGCATTAGGCTTCGGTGAACAGGTAATATGAGACACAGGTAGCATACAACACTCTAACACGTTAGAGGCTGATCAGCTGACTCTGGGAGACACTTGCAAGGTAACATCATGGCCAACGTTCTACTTTCATACAGGCCGTCTTATCAGCATTACAGACATCCGGGAAGAACAGTTCCCTGGCTCTGCCCACAAAACCACATGCTGTCACAAACGTGTCAACTATCGATACAATGAACTTCGGTTTATTAGGATCTTCAACTAAAGCAGCGATTTGGCATTTAAAAATAATGACATTTCAACAAAAATTAATCAATACGAACTAGGAGACAATATAGCATGAGCCTAGTATTTGATAGACAAAAAACGTACAGGTCTCTAATGTTTACTAGATATCGGGGCAAGTACACACCGTAGCAATGTTTTAGGAGCGACCATCTTTCTTGATTGTGTAACTTCATCTAATCCTCATGCTACCAGCGATGTGTTTGCAGACATTGTTCCCACTGGATTATGCAATGTATCCCATTTGCAATAGCTTGCAGTTTGTTGTGTGCGGTAAACAGTACTATGCCTGCCTCAGATCTTGGGTCTTTATAAATGATCATAGTCCCTGTGAGAGTCGCCGTGCATCTGAATAACGATCGATTGCGGATCGGAAGGCCGAAGGTTCGACTTCTGACCGAGCCGGACCTTTTGTGTGCGTGTGTGTGTTTTTTGTTTTGTTTTCAAATGAACTTGGCTCTCAGTTTGACCCAGCCTTAAGTGAGTACCAGGTATAAGTCCTGGGATGTAAAGGCTGCCCGCGTGATGCTGACCATATCATCAAACAACTACTGATTGATCTAAGAAATATAGTTCTAGTTTCTATATGCCCAATTCGCCTGAAGGCTTGGGAAAAAAGGTTCTTTGCTTTACTTACATAGTCCCAGTATTTTCCAGGCTAAAATATATACCAGGAAATATGAGGAAAAAAGATTTATATCGGCTACTTTCGAACTGATACATGCTGCAGGAGATTGCAGATTGTGGAGAGGCATGATCGCCCACGTCAGTCAGCAAGGCAGCTGATGATGATGATCAGCTACTTTATAGGTCGACTGCTGATAGGTCTATAACGCTATGGGAGAAACACGATAGGCCTACGGGGCATGCGAACAGACGCTTTACTTTCTTATGTGATGCCTGGTATATAGTAGTGGAATCTGTAACATGTCCTGACATTGCTTATTTATCACAGAAACATGAGAGGAAGAATTCTGTTTATGTTCTTTTCGTGATGCGACAAGCAATCAAAATCTAGCACTTTTGTGTAGTATTTTTCCCGAATATTTTTCCAATGAAGTTCCTAATCTACACATTGATTCCAGCATTGTTATGGCGCGTAAGGCTGGGTTTGGCAACCATTTCCTGTTGTTAGCTTCCGGTTACCAGCCAGAAGACCAGATCTAACTTTACAATCGACTCCTGGAAATAGCAGCAGGGTTGTGCAATGTCAGTATTGATTTGCGAGGGCGGCTTCAGCGTGGATGTAGGACAAGTGTATGTAAGAATCGTGCTGTAGAATTGTCATTGAAGGCAGGCACGAGGGGAAAATGTGTTATTATAGTGAGGAGGATGTTTTGATACAGACCAAGAATTCGAAAGAGGAAGATGTAATATGTATTTAATGTAATCTAACATAAAACTGTTATCTATCTATCTAATCTATCTATCTATCTATCTATCTATCTATCTATCTATCTATCTATCTATCTATCTATCTATCTATCTATCTATCTATCTATCTATCTATCTATCTATCTATCTATCTATCTATCTATCTATCTATCTATCTATCTATCTATCTATCTATCTATCTATCTATCTATCTATCTATCTGTCTATCTGTCTATCTGTCTATCTGTCTGTCTGTCTGTCTGTCTGTCTGTCTGTCTGTCTGTCTGTCTGTCTGTCTGTCTGTCTGTCTGTCTGTCTGTCTGTCTGTCTGTCTGTCTGTCTGTCTGTCTGTCTGTCTGTCTGTCTGTCTGTCTGTCTGTCTGTCTGTCTGTCTGTCTGTCTGTCTGTCTGTCTGTCTGTCTGTCTGTCTGTCTGTCTGTCTGTCTGTCTGTCTGTCTGTCTGTCTGTCTGTCTGTCTGTCTGTCTGTCTCTCTATCTGTCTGTCTGTCTCTCTATCTGTCTGTCTGTCTGTCTGTCTGTCTCTCTGTCTGTCTCTCTATCTGTCTGTCTGGCTGGCTGTCTGTCTGTCTATCTGTCTGTCTGTCTGTCTGTCTGTCTGTCTGTCTGTCTGTCTGTCTGTCTGTCTGTCTGTCTGTCTGTCTGTCTGTCTGTCTGTCTGTCTGTCAATATTTTCTCGTTCTCCTCTTTTCTTTTTCTCGCTCTTCTCTCAGTCTCTCCTTCGTTCTCTCAGATTCTCTCTCAGTCTATCAAATTTATCCCAGACTGTCTATACCCAGTGTCTCTCTCTTTATAAATCTCTCTCTGTCACTTTCGCAAAAATATACGGTGTGATATTTTTCTCACACGCACTTTACCATTGTCACCTGTCTTTTCCATCTATCGCAATCTCTCCCTCTTTCTACCTCTAATTATCTCTCCTTTTATTACTCTCATTTTCTTTCTCACCTCCTTCTCTCCTATATGTATCTCAGTCCCACCCCCCCCCCCCCCCCCCTCAACCGAGATATTTTCCTACATCACTATTCCCCGCACTATGTAAAGTCGACAGAGATCATGTAGAGGGGACAAAGATTACGTAGAGTGGACAGAGATCATGTAGAGGGGACAGAGATCATGTAGAGGGGACAGAGATCATGTAGAGTGGGCAGAGATCACGTAGAGGGAACAGAGATCACGTAGAGGGGACAGAGATCATGTAAAGGGGACATAGATCATGTAGAGGGACCAGAGATCATGTAGAGGGACCAGAGATCATGTAGAGGGGACAGAGATCATGTAGAGGGGACAGAGATCATGTAGAGGGACCAGAGATCATGTAGTAGGGGACAGAGATCATGTAGAGGGACCAGAGATCATGTAGAGGGACCAGAGATCATGTAGAGGGGACAGAGATCATGTAGAGGGGACAGAGATCATGTAGAGGGGACAGAGATCATGTAGAGGGGACAGAGATCATGTAGAGGGGACAGAGATCATGTAGAGGGGACAGAGATCATGTTGAGGGGACAGAGATCATGTAGAGGGGACAGAGATCATGTAGAGGGGACAGAGATCATTTAGAGGGGACAGAGATCATGTAAAGGGGACATAGATCATGTAGAAAGGACAGAGATCGTGTAGAGTAGACAGAGATTACGTAGAGGGAACAGAGATCATGTAGAGAAACCAGATATCATGTAGAGGGAGCAGAGATCATGTAGAGAAACCAGAGATCATGTAGAGGTACCAGAGATCATGTAGAGGGACCAGAGATCATGTAGAGGGACCAGAGATCATGTAGAGGGACCAGAGATCATGTAGAGGGACCAGAGATCATGTAGAGGGGACAGAGATCATGTAGAGGGACCAGAGATCATGTAGAGGGACCAGAGATCATGTAGAGGGGACAGAGATCATGTAGAGGGGACAGAGATCATGTAGAGGGACCAGAGATCATGTAGAGGGACCAGAGATCATGTAGAGGGACCAGAGATCATGTAGAGGGACCAGAGATCATGTAGAGGGACCAGAGATCATGTAGAGGGACCAGAGATCATGTAGAGGGGACAGAGATCATGTAGAGGGACCAGAGATCATGTAGAGGGACCAGAGATCATGTAGAGGGACCAGAGATCATGTAGAGGGACCAGAGATCATGTAGAGGGGACAGAGATCATGTAGAGGGGACAGAGATCATGTAGAGGGACCAGAGATCATGTAGAGGGACCAGAGATCATGTAGAGGGGACAGAAATCATGTAGAGGGGACAGAGATCATGTAGAGGGACCAGAGATCATGTAGAGGGACCAGAGATCATGTAGAGGGACCAGAGATCATGTAGAGGGGACAGAGATCATGTAGAGGGGACAGAGATCATGTAGAGGGGACAAAGATTATGTAGAGAGGACAAGGATCACTATAAAGTATACACAGTTATAGTTTCCATAGACTTTCCTGGCACAGTATTATCATGTTTAACACATCTGGGTGTGTTTCAAAATCGTGGCCTGTGTGTATCTGAGATGTCTCTGCAATACTGGCGTCTGCTAGCAGGTGCTGGCATGCCACTATCATATCAGAAGTATGCACCAGGTCCTAGTATTGTCAATGTAATGCTGTATACGTTAATCAATCAAGTCAAGCGTCGCCTCCATAATTAAAGTTGGCTTTAAAGGTCCAACGCGTTATGTTCCTGGGCTCTGCTTCAGTACTCTGACAGATGACTGTGCATCAGTTTCTTTGTGCGTGTTATCTTAATACTTTTATCATTGTCTACCTCTTGCTTGCCATCTTTTAACGTGTCTATCAATTATCGTTTTTAAAAAGAGCGGCCTTGTATTTTACTGTAGCAAAAATAGGCGGTGTGACATTTTGTATTTCTAGTCTTGTCATTTCCAGCATTATAGATTACCCTGTGCTGTCAGTGTGCTTCTTAGAAACGCAACTTACTCTTCTGTACATTGACATGTAGAGGGCTCAGTGTTATTTTGACAATTACTGTTGATTATTAACACTTCATGATGTTAAATAGAAGTGTCACTAGAAAAGACCTAATGCGATATTTGACTGTTAAACCATTATGTCATAGATACCTTACACCGTTTTTCCCCCGCGGTTGCTCGTGGTTAGACACTTGCCTGCCAGGCGAAAGATCCTGAGTTTGGATCCGCATGGATTCATAATTGACCTGGCTCTTGTGTCGACTTAACCTAAAAGAACAGGAAAAGTCATAAGAAGAAAAGGTAGCCGGCGAGATGTTAACATCACCCATCTA